GCTCTCAACATCATGGTTTGGGGCAAACCTGGTCCTGTTTTGCCAGTGATGGATTTTCATCACCTTGAACACAGCACATGGAAATCCTGACAAGTGTTGGCAAGACCGTAACCAGCCTGTGATAGTAAATATTTAACTTTTGTGTTCTAATTGTTTTTCGTGCTCCCAAATGTATGTGCTTTGTTCCTCAAGTAAACAAACAGCCTTGCAAAGCTTTGCTTGTCTGCTGATCTGCTACAACTGTGCTTTTACGAGGCAAGTAAAATATAAATCATTTCCAAGTTGCAATCGGTTGATGTGGGAAAAGGAGAATGAGTAGTTTCTGGTGCAAACAGTTTACAAATTTAACGTGGAGTTTATTAAGCTCTCCTGTTCGCGTGTAGCAAGCTTAGAAATGTTACATTACCACGCTCACAGATTTTGTGGTGGCACTTTTTAAATTAGAAACTTCATGTTCTGAAATCTCAGCTAATACTGGAATTCTGTCTTCTGAAAACGTAGGTTGTTTTGAATATAAGTAGAGAAGTGGGAGATGATCATCTCGTCTTTCAGGGATATGAATTTTTTGGTTTGCGATGGTATATGCTGTCTGAAGACTCGATGTGCTTTGGGGTTTTTCTGGTTTTTATTTTTATTTGTTTTATGAACAGTCCCTTGTTTTGCTTACTCTGGAACAAGTGGAGCTTTCTGAAAGTGTTTTTATTATCAAAATACATGTATGATGTAAAAATATACTTAGGCAGTGTAGCCAAATTGCTGGTTTGTCTCATTAGTACAGGCTAAAAAGAGATACTTAGAGTTCTGACTCTAGGGGGTTTTTTTCTATGCTTTTTGTTGTTTCAGACACAACCCTTTGACTGTTGCTTTTAAACTCAGGGTTTCTGAATTTCCCCAAGTCCAGATATTACTGATATTCAGACTTCACACCAGATGTCCTGTGGTTCAAAATTAAGCGTGACCTTATATTAGTTCTGAAAAATAAGATCAGTTTGTATCCAGTCCTAATACTTTTTATCTCCTTGAAAAGTTCTCATCCTCATCTTAACAGACTTTTTCCCTGGGGCCTGTAAGGACTATAAAAATCTCACTGAGAAGGAATTTTGAGCTTGACTTCATCCCTGCAGCTGCCTGTTTTCTCTGGAAGCTTTTGTGGCGTGGTGCAGGACCTGCCTCTCGGAAGGAACCAAGAGAAAAATCTCAGTTTAAGGAATTTTTTCATCTCTTCTTGAGCCACTGCTTTAAAAACCCCTGCCAGATCTGCTGAAGGCTGCAGCCGTAGGATGGAGATGCCCCTGTGAAGCCACTGCTGGATTTTCATCAAATATGTTAATGTTGGAGGGGTAGAAGGTTAGGGAGAAGTACGAGAGGAGCAAGGGAAGGAGCTGTCTAGGAATTCCCATCTGAAATAAAAGAGTGTCCCCCAAAAAGGCCTTAAGGCCGCGTTTAAATACCACCCTTATGGGACTCATACCTGTTACTTCATTTCTATTCCTTGAAACAGCTGGTGAAGGAGTAATCCTGTGTGAATGACACAGTAAAAAATAGTCAGTCCTGTTAATCCTCTCTCTTTAGTGAGTTCAAGCGCTGAAGTTGTTTCAGAGATAAAGTAGGTAAAATAATGTGATTTCTCTGATCCCTTCTGCTCAGAGTTCTTGCAGCAGAGCCCTTGCTCGTTAGTGCAATGCAGTGTGGCTTTAACTACTTTGACCCTTAAAAGGAGCAGTTACAAATCAGATTGAGACTGAGCCCTGTGTTAGCTGGGGGATGTTATTCCAGCTGATACAACTGTGCTTAAATATTTCAGTCTGAACCTGAAATCAGCGAATGCATGCACCTTCTATAAGGAGCATGTCCTTGGTAATTCCTCCTGCTTTTTTCCGTACATTCAGTGTTTTATTGGTCTCTCCTTGCTTTTCCAGGCCTTTTAGTCAGGATTTAGGTGCATACTGAAAAGAGTGAGTGTTCTTTCCTTGCTACAGCCGCATCTGATTTGATCAGCCAGTGCGTGGTTTTTATAACCTGTCTTTTTGCTGTGAAAAACAGTGTCTTGCTATGAAATTGTTATTTCCCAGTAACGGCACTTGTGTCAAAATAACTTCTTTTAAAGCCAGGGAGTGCACGAGTACCTCGGGGACCTCTCTGCGATGCTGCCGGCAGCCTCATTTCAAGTGGAAGCTGATCTCTAAATCCTCTGGGAATAGTTGTCTCAACCAAGAAATGTCAGGTTTTACTGTCAGTTTTGCTCCTTTTGAAGGAAAATTGAGTCCGGTGCTTACGTCTGTGTTCAGTGTATGAAGCTGAGAGTCTCTGCCAGGGTTTGAAGAGGGCTGAGTGCTCCTCTGCTTGAATTTAATCTTGTTTAGATTCCCACTGGTTCTTGAGAAAGGGGAGGAGAGCGTGGCATGAACTGTTTGGGACCCGTGAACTGAAGTTTGTTACCGGTGAAGTCATTTTCTTTGTGGTGGTGACGTCTGGTTTTGACACCAGAGTGACCCTCCCGGAGGAGGAGAAGGGCTGCGATCCCATACCGTCAGTGGGAGTTCCCTGTCTTTTAGGGGAGCACAACTACCCTCTCTCATCTTCTTACAGCTCCCCTTCTTGTCATTTCTGTGGAGCATCGTTAGGGATTCATCGTGGGGGGACTATTTCATCTCGTTTCCCAGTGCTGGTGTAAGAGAGACGTGGCGGGACCTTAACTCGACGCTTCCTGGTTTTCCATTGTTTGGTGAATTAAACTCTCGTGTTCAGGAAGAACACGAAACGCACTGACTATTGTCAAAAACCTGCAGGCTTAAGTAGGAGTTTTCAAGGAGTCAGTTTTGATTTTCTTAAGGGTTTTGGTTTTTCTTTCTTTCAGTAGTACACGGTGTCGCGCACACGTCGGCAGCACAGCAGTGGGATGAAGCTGAAAAGTCTTCATGCTTGAGGTGCAGAAGACTAAATGATACATAAAGATCTATAAAAAAAAAACAAACCTGTGTAACAAAACTGAACGGTTGGATTAGAAGCAGAATATTTATTCCCTTTTCTCTTGGTGTACAACTGCCTTATTAACGTGGTTCTTCACCTCTGCTTTTCAAGGAAATGAAGCACTAGAAGTGGGGGTTGTTGCCTGGGAGGACGTCTCTCCCTGGGTATCGCATTGGAGCCCCTGTGATTGGCAGCCTCTCATCACCACCACTGTGTAATATCTTAATTATCAGCTCCAACACAACCAGCACCAGTGTATGTTTTCCCATTTTCAGTGGGTGTCCCTCTTCCCGACCCCCTGAGACATTCGGATTCCGGTCATTGGTGTGTGTGGTCCTTGTCTGTGCTTCCCCGTCTTTGAGCAGTGTGTTGGTGGACACTTCTCCATCCAACTCATCATATCTGTAGGTGCACGGCAGCAGCCCCTCCTAGTGGTCCCTTCCGTGGATCTCCACTTTTTCTCCCTACCTGTTGGTCATCCTGGCTTTTCCTTTCTTCCCATGTGGAGGTGTCGGGGCAAAGCTCAGTCCTGTCCCCCCAGTTCTTTCAGGCCAGGGCACAGGAGGAGTTGGAGCTCCTGGAGTTCCAGCTCTGCCCACCGTCCTCTGTGGCCAGCAGGGAAGGAAGCCTGCCAGACACCTTACTTCCTTGTTGGTCTTGTTTTTGCACAATTTGTAAAAGCCTGCAGGGCTGCAAACTGAATGCCCCCAAGGTAGGGCTCTGAAATGATGAGTTTTTTGATTTGGAGGAAGCCATCGGAGTTCCCTGGTGCCTGTGGACTTGCCCGTTGGCTTTGGAGGGAGGGAGGGAGAGCCTGTATTTCAGAGGATCAGAATTTGACCCAAAGATGTTCTTGTCTTCCCCCGAGAAACTACCGATCCATTTGTCTTGTGTGTGAAACCACGTAGAGGATGCCGATGTAAGTACGTAAGGTTACTTTTTTGAGGTGATTAACATATAATTTGTATCGGGGAGAGCAGGGAATTTCCCTGGACTACTTACAAATCTTTTGGCTATAGTTTAAGATCTAGTTAGTGCTTTCCTGATTGAGAGGCTGCCAGGGAAAACTGAGTAGAGACTAACTCTTGACTGCTTTTTTTTTTTTTTTTAAATTTTTATTATTATTATTATTTTAAGGTGGGGTTGTTGTTCGGTTTCGGGGGATTTTTAGTAGGAAAACAGCCACGTTGGACCGGGGTGAGTTAGTCGTGGCCCTTTAGCTTGTGCGGGCACGTGCTGAGGTTGCCTGTTCCAGGTTGTCTGAGCCTTGGAAACCAAAGCTGTGATTAATCTCCGTGAAGTGAGATAAAAAGGCATTATCCTGCCCTGCGTTAGAGGGAGGTGGAAGTCAGCTTTTCTCACAGCGCCTTTCCTGCTCTCCACACTCCTGAATTTTGATTCCTGCTTTTCCTTAGATCTCCCTTTCTGCGTTGAGTCTTTCACGTCTCTCTGTCTCAGGCCTCAGACGGCGTTTCATGTTCTTCTTAGTTTTCTGAGGCATCTCAAAGAGCTTTTCCAGCCCTCATCCAGTGTCACGGCCGGGGCTTTTTACTGCCACAGGTTTTACCAGCACATTAATTCAGTTCCCTGCCAGACTGGTTGGTTCTCTTACCCTGATGTCTTTGCTTATTAAGTCTGTTCCTCTGGTGGGTCCATGCTCCTCCTGCGTTCACAGTCACCCAGTGCTCATTAGGAGGGTTAGTAACACAACTGTGTGTTACTCATTCTGTGGATGAATAACTGCACAATTACCAACAGTGATTGTTTTCACTGCACCGTTGGCAGAAATCTGCCTTGCCTTGAAATTTCTCCCCCGCCGTAAAGGCTAAACACGTAGTTTTTAATTGACTAGAATACCAGCTTTGCAGGAATAGGAATTGCCATCTTAACCATGTAGGAAAACTTGTGGGAAATGACTGAAAGTGTGCGAATTTGCAGCACTACAGTACAGAGGTTCTCCTTTTTTTTGCCAATTTTTTCCTTCTTTTTTCTGCCAATTTTTCTTAATTCTTTTTAATTCTTTTGAACAGGTTCAGCAACAGGTTCACCCAAACCTCTCGGCGAAAGAAGATTCCCTCTATTACATTGAAGAGTTGATACTTCAGCTGCTAAACAAACTATGCATTGCTCAGCCACGGACTGTCCAAGATGTAGCGGTAAGTCTAGATCCTGGAAAACCAAGTGCTTCCAGAGTCACTAAGATGAACCAAGATCCTTTGAGCAGCGCAGCTTGAAGTTAAAGCAAGGTGAATCCGAAGAGCAGACCCTGTTAGTGCTAAAAGATTATATAGTGTTCAGATTTCACAAAGCAAGCTTGATTGGAAACTCATTTTCCTACACAGGGCTTCAGAATAGAAATTGTGGGATTTTTTTTTTGTTTTCAGCATTATTTTTCTAAATGCAGAATACTTTGAAGGATTTCCTGCTGCTCGAATACACCTTGGACTTAAGGATGTTGCAAGTTTTCCTACTCTTCAACATAAATTTCCAGGGGTGGGGGGGGAAAAAGGGAAATATTGTAATGAAAGGTTACTGTTGTTAGGCCTGGATTGTGCAGCTGAGGGAATAGAGTTGTACGTTCCTGGAACTTTATTGAACTCACTGAGGCTCTTGTATTATTGCAGCTGTCGGCTTTTGTGTCATCGGGTACAAAATGAGGGCTTTAATGGAGTGTGCTTCAGAATACAGTCTAGAGGGAGAAAGTGCTTTCACGGAGCTGTGGCCCATTATAGCTTTGTAGAGTATTAATTTTACATCAATCTATATGTCTAGGATTTTCAGCCTAAACCAAAATGAAGTCCCTGCCTAATAGTCTATGTGTGTGTCATGGAAATAAAAAGATGAATATATATATTTACAAAATAATTGCCTGAGGGGTTTTAGATTCTTATTAGATGTAGCAATTGCCCTTTATTCAACATGAATTCATTAATTATTAATTTTGGTTTCTGATTAATAAATTTTGTAATACTGGTGAGTAAAGATGATAGTACGACTAAATAAAAGCAAAATTTAATAGTCCCTTTAATAGCTCTCAGAATTGTTAGTACCTTGAGTCTGGGTTTCAACTTTAGACTTGGAGCTGAGAAATACCAGGTTCTTCCTCCAGTTCCCAGCTGGTCAAACCCTACAGCCCATAGGACACTTCGAGGTAGCACTGATTTTCTACGCACCAGCTCCATAGTTGGCTGTTTCTGAGTCAAGAGATGATAAAATTACCCTGTGTACGTATGAAATAATAACTTTCATGGGGTATCTCTATGCTCTACAAATTACTGTGTGCAAAACTGCATGCCATGATACCTGACAACCCTCTGAATTGTGGTTATCAGTATCACAGCAGACACCAAATCCTGTGAATTGTATTTTAAATATACCTGGCATTTTAAAGCTGTGAATAATAGAACATTGTCGTGCTTGGCAATTTAATAGTTATTTAATTTAAAAACAAAGAGCTAGATCTAACACAGGTTCCCCAAAACATTAATCGTCTCTAGGTCAATAAATTCAGACTCTTCCAGAGCAGGAAAAATAGGATTGAGGTTTGTGTTATTGGTGAGGTTGTGCTGCCAGCAGGCGTCTGGGATCCACAGATGAAGGCTTTTGGCTCTGCTCCTCGGCTGTTTTTAGCTGTTCAGAGAAAACACGAGAGCTGTGATCTCTAAAAGTTTATCGTGCCGATATTTACATAACAGCCTGGAACTGTTTGTGCATAATATGTTTGTGCATTTGCAAGATCAATGTCTAAAATCTCAAATCGTAAAGGTTTTATAAATAGAAAAAGCCCTTCAGATTGTTCCCAAGAAAACACTGGGAACCAGCAAATTCCGAGCGCAGAAAGCACGTGTTCCTCGTGGAGTGCACTGGTAAATTGAAGAACAGCTGGATGCCCTGGTACATCCATTTTGTGGGCTATCTCCTGGTGGGATCTCAAGGAAAGCTCATTTTGGTGAACCAGCCCAGAGCTTTCGGCTCTGTTTCCCTGGCTCCGACAGCTGATGTGGAAAATTGGGCGTCAAATATATTGGCCACGTGCAAATATTTAAAAGGTGCCTCTAAGAAGAGCTTAGGCCTCCTCTTAAATTCCAGAATATGTGCAAAAATCTTTTTATCAAAGGGATCTGTAGATTTCACCATTTTTCTCAGCTCGTTCTTCAGCTCTATTACTGTTTTTCCAATGTCACTTAAGAAGCAATCATCAGGGTTTGGTTTAGACTCGTTCTTTCAGCTTTTTAATTCCCCAGCTCACAGGGGCTGGAGCCTGGAGAACTTCATGGAAAGCAGGACTGGGGTCTTGCACATGTTTAGCTGGGGGCTGCTGGAGTGTGGTTCTGTGCTGGGGGTCATCTCACCTGTTCCTATCGCAGCTCTTGAAATAGGAATCTGTATAAAAGTGCCCTGAAATCACATAGAGTTTACTGTGTAAACTGGGAGCTGTAAATTGGGGCCACTGTGACTGTGAAGATGCTCCTGTGTGGGCTTGTGGAGTCCAAAGTGATGTAGCCACCCTTTTTCATCAAGCACAGCGCTCCTCCTAGTTAGAAGATCCTGCTATATTAAAAAAAAAAGTTAAAAAAAAATTCTATTAGATGTAATTAATTATATAATATATTAAAAATCAGGGTTTCTTCATTTCTGCCATAAACTTGATCTCATCCAGGACAAGTTACACTCTGGACGTTTATAAAATAGGAACAATACCAACTTGGGTTTGGTTTTTTGGGTTTTTTTTTATGTAGACTGTAAACGGTTTAGTACTTCCTGATGTTGTTTATACTTCAGCTGAGGTTTCTTGCTGCTCTTGTGATGCAAAGATCATAGAGCAGGAGTTGTTTTAGGAGATTTGAAGGAGTTTTGTTCGTGCTTAGGGCAGGGAGGTTGTTTGGGATTATTGAAAAGAGTGAGTTGGGCAAGGAGGAGAGAACAGTTAGGAAAATGTGTTGCAAACACTGAGGAGGAGGATAATTGTCTATACTGCAGGGGAAGTAATTTGCCGTTTTTATTTTCTTTAAACTTCTCTTTGATTACTGTGGTTAATCTAAGTGCACTCTCTGTGTTTGGACAGGACCGCGTTCAAAAGACATTTCCTCATCCCATAGACAAGTGGGCGATCGCTGATGCGCAGTCTGCCATAGAGAAACGAAAGAGAAGAAACCCTCTCCTGCTGCCCGTGGACAAAATACATCCTTTATTAAAGGTACTTCAACTGTGACAACCTGCTGCTTCTGCCCACCACCACCCCCCCCAGCCCTCCAGCGTATTAACCTTTAAAGTATTTATTTAATTAATTTAATTTGTGCGAAATTAGGGATGTTTCTCGTAGTGGCTGAAAAAGTAAAGTCACCACAGAACAGGACATTTAATTAATTTAATTTGTGCGAAATTAGGGATGTTTATCACAGTGGCTGAAAGAGTAAAGTCACCATAGAACAGGAATAGTATGTAATAAATGTAGATACCTAAATTCACCGTGTTCCAGGCAGTAGTGTGTTAATGTATTACTCTACTTCGTGTTACTCTACTTTGAAATATGACTAGTTAGTTTTTAACATAAATAAAACCCAAACAAACCCAAATACCTTGCCTACTTCTGTAGCACTGTTTTGATGCCTTTATTTGTTTCAAAATGCTGCAGAAGCCAAAACAGAAGGAGAGAGAACAAGTAGATCCCGTTCCTTGTATACTGTCAACTTGAGATGTGTGTCAATGTCCTTTCAGTTACTGTTGAATGTCACTGATGCCTTGGTTTTCAAATCAATAGATCTGCAAAGGTGTAACAGAAAAACAAGTAGAGACTTTATGGTTGGTGGGTTTTGAGGAGGAAAGTTCTTAGATGTCGTGTCCCTTAGAACAGGTTCAGAGTCCTTGCTTACAGTCAAGTTTTAGTGTCACACAGTCAGCATGTGTTTATACCCTGGCCCTGTAGAGTTGTTTTTTAATGATAAAACAGTACTCTGATTTTTAGATCAGTGTTTAATCAGTTCTAATCAGTAGATTGAGGCTCACTCAAGCACTGCTCCTTTTTGGTGCTTCTTTTTTCTATTGATTTTGCTTTTTGTTCATAGCTTAACAAATGCTTTTCTCCACTGGTGGCATTGCAGCACCAGAGTTTCCAGCTGCACTGAGGAGATGTTATTCAGGAATAAGCAGAAATTAAAGCACTTCTTCAGGTGTAGTCACTGTGTTCTTTTATATAATGTCTTAGCTTGAGACAGTTAATGAGAGGGCGAGAGATGTTAGGAAAGAACACAGCATTAAATAAGACCTTCCTAGACAACACTGGCTTTCATGTATGAAGTCTGGTTTAGAAGTGTGTGGACAGAGGCACACAATCTGATTTTTTAGAAGCTAAATCAAAATTTAATAATTTGAATTACTTTCTGTATTGCAAGGATGCAGATAGCTTAGATGTTCGGCCAAATGTGAAGGGTGGACTGAAATGGATCGCAGTACGTAATAGGTGGAACACAGAGTCTATAGTTTCATGAAAGACAATTTATTCCATCAAGAACAATTAAAAATGAAGCATTTTCTTTTCTGAAGAGTCCAGGTTAGGGCCAGAGTCCTGCAATAAGCATAGATATAGACTAAAAATTTAAGTACAAGAGTGGTTCCAGTGAAGTCCCTTTGAAGGAAGCCTATTTTTAGGACGGTCATTTTTAGAAGAGGGATTATTGAAAGTTCTGTAGCTTTTCGTGTGTCAGGATAGGACAAAACAGCACAAGGAAGTATTTGCAAGGCGACTGATCAGATTTCCATTTGATGGCCTTTGCCCTGCCTGTTACATTACTGTAAATTATCAACATAGACAAGATCAATTTTAGTAGAAAACTCAATGTGTTAGTTGTCATTCTGAATGAATTTCTGGAATAAATAGCTTTTTTTTTTTCCTCTTGTTTTCGATGTGCAGGAGGTCCTGGGCTATAAGGTAGATTACCACGTCTCTCTGTACATTGTGGCTGTCTTAGAATACATCTCAGCTGACATTTTAAAGCTGGCTGGAAACTATGTCTTCAATATCCGACACTTTGAGATCTCCCAGCAGGACATCAAAGTATCCATGTGTGCTGATAAGGTAAGGAGTTGGGATTAAAATCCTCATTTGGACAAATACAGAGGTAAATATTAGAGGTATCTGGGTGTTTTGTTTTTTTTTAGAAGATATACCCAAAGGAGGGTAGGAGAGAGAGCCTGGTCTTGCTGAAATGCAGAAGCTTCTCTCCTAATTCATGCCAGACCTGTCACAGTAACGACTGCAGTTAAGCCTGTTAAGTTTTGGCACATTATTAATTCTTACAAAACAATGAAAGGACAGAAAATGATGTTGTCCTTTATTTCTCAGCTGTGTCACTGTCCTCCCAATGTCGCTTTGTCGTGACAGCTCTTTCCTTCTTTCTTATACAGAAAAGACATTTAGTTTTCATCTTGTAAATGCGAGAAACATTTTTCTTTAATTTTATCTTTATCAGGAGGGTTTTGTCAAAGTCTTATGCAAGATGCCTTGTTTTCAAAGTTGGTTCTGCATGAATTGTAACTTGTTTTCTAGGTCGTACTAACTTATAAAGGGGAAAATGACTTTGGCAACTGCTCCAGCCTTCTGCTGCCAAAGTTGAAATATTACTCCTTTGTGAAAGTGATCACAGAAAGTATTGTATTAAAAACTCAAAGGATTTCTCTGAACACATTGAAATAGCTGAGCTTGAGCCAAGTGTAAATCAGGCTTGCTTGTAATTTTTAAAATTTCTCTTCTAGGTTTTGATGGATATGTTTGATCAGGACGACATTGGTTTGGTTTCTCTCTGTGAAGACGAACCCTCTTCTTCTGGGGAGCTCAACTACTATGACCTAGTGAGAAACGAAATCGCAGAAGAAAGGCAGTATCTCCGGGAGTTGAATCTGATAATAAAAGTATTTCGGGAGGCTTTCCTATCAAACAGAAAATTGTTCACACCTAACGTAAGTCCTTTAATAGGTTATTGATGTGTAATGCCAGTCGCTCCATTAGCAGCCATAACATATCAATATTACATTCACTGCCTTGGAGGTAAAATTAAATTTGATTTATTGCGTGTCAGTGCATAATGAGCGTTGACTGTATATGAAATAAAACAGCGGAATTGCCATTAATAGTATGAACGAGTGCTGCTCTCAGAGTAAAGCTTAATGGACACGATTTCGGGTCGGATGCCAGCAATACCTGTAGTCCATTAGTCGTGTAGATAATAGTTACAGTTTTGCTTAATGCAAAAAATGAACAGTTATCTGCCTGCATGTACAGCCATCCCTGAACTGGGATTTTCAGGTGATACCAGCAGGTTAAGAAGAGAGACAGCAGGAGACATTCCCATTACAGCTGGTTGTGGGGGTTCCTCAGTAGCTGATAGGATATTGGAGAATCATGTGAATGGGGGGACAGAATTCAATCAAAGACGATGGGAGGGGAAGGTGTTGGAGCTGAGGAATATTCTTTTGTTATTTGGGAATGGGTATGAGAAATTTTGAGATGGCTCGTTCCCATGAAGCGACTGCCGTGGTCTCGGGGCTGGCAGGAGGTCAAGCAAACCCTGCAGTGTTGGGTTGGGGCAGAGGAAGGAGGGTGTAGAGAGATGGGGGTCAGTCTCTTTTCTCAAGTCACAGGCAACAGGACGAGAGGAAATGGCCTCAAGTTGCTCCAGGGGAGGTTCAGGCTGGATATTAGGAAAAATTTTTTCACTGAAAGGGTTCTCAGCCATTGGAATGGGCTGCCCAGGGAGGTGGTTGAGGCACCATCCCTGGAGGTGTTCAAAAGACGGGTTGATGTAGTGCTGGGAGGTCTGGTTTAGTGATGATGCTCCTTGTTTGTTGTGTGGGTGTCTATTTTTGTCAGTGAGGTTGACGGTTGGACAAGATGATCTTTGAGGTCCCTTCCAACCTAGAAGATTCTGTGATTCTGTGTGATTCTGTGATTCTGTGTTTCAGAGGGGTCAGAAGGAGAATGCAGGTCATCGGAAGGGGCTGCCTAGTTGGGTGTGTGGATTTGGAAAAATGTAAAAGTAGAATTTGGAAAAAGAAGGTTCCAGTTCCTGCTCTGTTCCCGGGTGATACTCTGCTAAAGTAGCCAAGTAGCTGCTTTAGTTTTACCTGTGGTTTAGAGGATCTGACCTTAGAGCTGCTTTAAATCGCCTCCTTCCTGTTGTGTCCTGAGAGACAAGAATCAGCAGAGGGGGAAATAACAGCTGTGAATCGTGACTCAAAAGGCCAGGAGTTTCTGTCCAAGGCACTGAACAGCCCGTACTGGGGCTGCTGCTCCGGCCTGGAAAGGACGATGCGTCTGTCTTCGCTGGGCTGGGAATTGTGCAAGGCTGGATGTGCCCAGGCAAGCTCACAGGGCCGGGAAAACCATGTCATTTAACTTTTTCCTTGCTTTTTTTTTTTTGGCTCTTCTCCATTTACCTCTTGGTTCAGACTTCACAAAAAATGCTCCCGTATTTACATAAGCAAAATAAATTATTCTAAGCGCTGCTGAGATGTGTTTTATGTTTGCAGGATATCGATGTGATATTTAGCAACATTTCAGATATTCATGAGTTGACAGTGAAGCTTTTAGGATTGATTGAGGATACTGTTGAAATGACTGATGAAAGTAGTCCTCATCCTCTGGCTGGCAGCTGCTTTGAGGATCTTGCAGAGGTACCGTGTTCCTTTCTTTTTTTTTTTAATCACTGTTTTGTTTTCTTAGTAAACTTTTGGTCATGACTGATATGCAATAAATTTGCGGTTGTAAAATGTCCTTTTAATAATCTCTGAACAGCAATCTTCCCCACCCATTCTTTAGTAGGAAGGCTAAAGTGTGCTTTCTATTGTCACAGGAACAATATATCAAGCAGGTAAGCACAAAAATAAAATCTTATTTTGGTGGGAATTACTTGCTGTGACCCTGTAGGGATGTGGATTTGAAAAGTAAGTACCCCAGGACTGGTTACTGGAAGAAAGTGATGCCTTTATTTTTGTAGGCATTGACGGCGAGTCCAAGGCTACCCAAAAATCACGGCTGTTGGTCGTAGATCTGCAGGATGAGTGACTTGAATTGCTCTGGACAGTGAGCTAATTCAGCCAAAATAGGTTCTTAATTCAGCCAAATGCATTGTGAGGCATCTGGAATGAGAAACGTTTCTGCAGAGCAGTGACTCTGGAAGGAATGAAGTATCAAATCAGACTGAACAGAAGCTGTTCAGTACTGTAGCAGAAGTGCTATAGATACACATTGACCTATAAAATAGGTATTAAAGAGCAGAAATATGGGAAGACACTGCACATGGATTTGGTGTGGCTCATATTAGAACATTATTAAGTTATTTTGTCAGTTGTTTGTGTTTTTTTTAATGGGCATTGAAATACCACAAGGACTACAGAAATACCACAAGGACTACAAATAAAGGTTTTGAGAAAGTGCTTTACAGTGAGATAGAGGCAGTTTAGTCAAAATAGGGTAGATATATAGGTACCTTCAGACCTGAAAATAGAGTACAAAATGATTCTGGAGTTCAGCAGAGGAGGCACATAGCAGGAAAACAGTGTCTGAAAGGCAACAGGAGAGTTCAGCTAAGAAATACCCCACAACTTGCTGGAGGAGCCAGTTCTTGGACAAATTACCACGGTGGATGTGGAGGTTGTGCTGAGTTTGGACACGTTTAAATCGAGTCTTCTTTTTCTTGAGGGGAGTATTGAGCCCAGTTTTTTGAATGAAAACATAAGGGGAATCATGTAAAGCACATGGACTGTATCACAGGGGAAGTCAAATGAGATGTTCTGGCCTGAGGGAGAGAGAACATCTCAGATGAACCACACAGTGAATGTGAAGTTTATGGGTTTCATCTTAAAACTATTCTATATGTCAAGAATATGACAACCAATAAAATTTCCATTTCACTTTTCTGTATGTGCAGTTTTTAAAATCTGAGGCTGCGTGACCACACCAGTACCCTTTGGAAAACATTTACATTTTTGTGGGTATGAAGAATACTGTTTTTTCAGCCCATGTGCCACTCACTTATGAATATACCATAAAGATAAAGTTTACCTGGCGTTACATCAATAAATCCCTCATGTGACATATCAGTAGGAAAGTCCAGTTGACGAGGTCTTAGCTCATTAGTTGATAAAGGATAATTGCTTATATAATGACAAGGAGAAGCATTTGAACAATGGATTAAAGTAGAACCATAGAATGGTTTGGGTTAGAAGGGACCTTAAAGACCATCCAGTCCCACCTCTTTGCCCTGGGCAGGGACACCTCCCACCAGACCAGGTTGCTCCAAGCCCCCTCCAGCCTGGCCTTGAACCCCTCCAGGGATGGGGCAGCCACAGCTTCTCTGGCCAACCTGGGCCAGGCTCTCACCTCCCTCACAGCAAAGATTCTTCCTGAGATCTCATCTCAATCTCTCCTCTTTCAGTTCAAAACCCTTCCCCCTCCTCCTATGCCTCCCCTCCCTGATCCAGAGTCCCTCCCCAGGGACTCAGTAAGTAGCTATTATATCAAAATTAAAAAATGACTTGAAATTTTAAATAGTACAGCAGTATCCTGGAAAACATACACATCTCATTTTATTGCAAAAGCTACTTTTAGGCATCCTGTGCTTCAAGGGAAACAGATTCTTTCCAGCGAGTGAAAAATCTCACTTGATTTTCATTAACTAAAAAGCTTAAATAGGAGATGAAGAGCAGATTAATCTTCAAGCCTTCTTTTTATGCAGGTAGTAAGTTTGAATTTAATAATTCAGTTAATACAGAGCAAGACCTGCTTAATAACTAGGCTTCGTTTGATCATCTGGCGTGTTGAGATCATCTTTCTGTGAATATTTGCAGAAGGGATCATTAAAGAGAGATATGAAAGTGAAGTGTTTATTTGCTCTGCCTATCCTACTGCCAGGCTTGTTCACTTAGTGTTTCCATTATAAAGGTCCTTCAACTTATTTGGAAAGATAATTAAAAACAAACAACCCTTGAAAGCTGGAATCTTCCCCTTTTGTCTGTTTTTCTGCACCCGTTTTTGGGAAGGTTTTAACATAAATCTTGTCGTGTTTTTGAGATGAGGAAGTATGGGGAAAATAAACATTTTTTTTTTCCTTGTGCAGAGGAAATTAAAAAAAAAAAGTGATGCCTGACAAATATGAGTGGGAGATGGGTATATTTGTTAACATGCTGGTAAAAAGCCCCCCACATCCTGGGCTGCATCCCCAGCAGCGTGGCCAGCAGGGTGAGGGGGGGATTCTGCCCCCCTGCTCTGGGGAGACCCCCCCACAGTGCTGACTCCAGCTCTGGGGCCACCAACAGAAGGACATGGAGCTGTTGGAGCGGGGCCAGAGGAGGCCATGGAGATGCTGGGAGGGAGTCCTCCCTAAGGACTCCAGGGAGACCTTGGAGCCCCTTCCAGTCCCCAAAGGGGCTCCAGGAGAGATGGGGAGGGACTCTGGATCAGGGAGGGGAGCCACAGGACAAGGAGGAAGGGTTTGACACTGAAAGAGGGGAGATTGAGATGAGATCTGGGGAAGAACTTCTTTGGTGTGAGGGTGGTGAGAGCCTGGCCCAGGTTGGCCAGAGAAGCTGTGGCTGCCCCATCCCTGGAGAGGTTCAAGGCCAGGTTGGAGGGGGCTTGGAGCAACCTGGTCTGGTGGGAGGTGTCCCTGCCCAGGGCAGTGCGTGGGACTGGATGGGCTTTAAGGGCCCTTCCCACCCAAACCATTCTATGGGTCTGTGGTGGTGCTTGCAGGTAGTGGGCAAACACTGAGTAAACAAAAAGTCAACCCCCCCCCCAGGCTCTAAGCTTGATTCAGATTCTGCTTAAAACCGGCCCGTTCAGTTGGGAGTCTCTAATCATTTCTATTCAGCTGAAGTACCAAACCTTCCCCCCCACACACCTTCCCCCAAGGTACAATCTAATGCGAATGGACAGGGATGATTAGAACTTGATGAGGAGAGTTGAGAGCGATGATTACAATTTGCATGTGAAAAAGCGAGGGCATTCTGTGCCCCTCCTCCCCGTGAAACCTTTAATTGCAGCTGCCCCATGAGTAAGGTAGGAAATCCCCTGGACAAATGGAAACCTTGAGATTTTACCTGAATTTTCAAATGAGCCTTTGTGGTGGTTGGTTCTCCCCCAATCCTGCAGCCTCTATTCTGACAAGCGTTTTGGAATTAAGGTTAAAAAGAGGTATGTGCTTATTCTGGGCATGGTGCCACCAGCATGGCATCAAACCCGGTGATTCATGAGTGATTCAGCCCAGTGAATGTGCAGAGACTGGGGAACAGCCGGACAGGCTCTGGAGCAGGTGATCTGTGAGCAGGAATAAATTATTCCTGCAGACATTCATGGACAGTCAGGTTTTCATCCCGTCCTGCTGTAGTTGATATCACAGAACCACAGCCAGAGACTCCAGCCAGGGTGAGGATTTTTGTACCTGAAACCCTTAGAGCACATTCCTCCGAGACTCTTTCAGACTCACAGCTTTGTCCCAGCGTGAGGCATCTCCCCAGCTTTCCAGCATGGCCAGAAAAGTGTGCAGAAGTCCAGTCCTTATGGTGATGTGCCCCGAAATGGTGGTGGGACAACAATGCCTCCTTGTGACAGTCTCCAAAGTTCACCTTGACCTGCTTTTCTTTCCAAAGTGCCATTCCTTATTGTCAGATAGGAGGTAAATTGCTGAAAACAAGGATTTCTCTCTGTTCCCTCTGCTCCAGTAAAGCAAAGGTTGTGTTAGTGCCAAGTGCAGTGAGATTGAGGAACGCTGACAGAGTGTTTTGTGCATTTAAAATTTGGAAGTGGAAAAGGGTTGTGGTTTTACTGAATATTTGTTTTGCAAAATTGATCTTTTCTTGAAAAGTTCCACTAGTGTTTCGGCTTATTAAATAAATTAATTGTACCAGCTGGGACAGAAATGTCTTGCTTTCTTCATGTATGTATATAATTTTCTGTTTTTGTTCAGGAACAAGCCTTTGATCCATATGAAACCTTGTCCCAGGATATTCTTTCGCCACAATTCCAGGAGCATTTTAATAACTTAATGGCAAAACCTGCTGTTGCACTCCACTTCCAGGTGAGTGCCAATGAGAAATAACTGAATTGCTTTAGTTCTCATATTTCAACGGGTTGAATTTTGTAATTCTTTACTTCCTGCTGGGGAAGAAATCCTCTAGATTCTTACCTTTCTTCAGTGTGAGATACTTGGACTCTGCCTCTTCCCATAAAAATTGGACTTAGCTCTGACCCATCCCTGAGTGTTCTGCAGGTATTTTTGTCCCCACATCAGGCTCTCTTGCTTGAGAATAGAGGGTGACTTCTCATACCTGCCACTTCTCTTGCACCATTTAATGGCAAACACAGGCACAATATTGTCATTTTCTTCCATACATATATCCCAGGTTCCCCCTTGCTCAGCTTTGAGGCTGGGACCGGCAGTTCTGCACCATTTAATGGCAAACACAGGCACAATTTTCTTCCATACATACATCCCAGGTTCCCACTTGCTCAGCTTTGAGGCTGGGACGGGCAGTTTTTCTGGAGTCATATCTTTATTAGGACCATCCAGCCAGATCATCTGTGATTTTTTTTTTCTTTTTTTTCCCCTTTATTTATTATTACTTTCTTCTGCCAACGTGGCAGATGTATTAAAGACTGAGCTTGTGTTCAAAAGTGCCCTCAGAGGAGCTGCTCAGCAAGCATTTGGTCAGTGGTGCTCCCAGCTAAACCCATTATAGATAGCACTTAGTTTGTAGGGTTCACTGGTGTCTCTGAGCCATTCATTCCTTCAGGGCGAGCGTTTCCTCTTCAGCTCTGAGCACTTGATAAGCTGCATCATCTCACTCTTAAATACTACTTGGTGAATGTAGGGAGGCCCTTTACCTCCCTCCCTAGCAAATTTAAAGCCCAAAGCACTTTTCCAGATTAAATTTGCAATCAAGTAGTTTGACAGTGAATCTGGGCTCTTTTCTGGGTGTTCCTAGGGATGTTCCTTCATACTTCTCCAAGCTCTGGAGGGAAGGCAAAGGTCCAGGCTCTGGGCCATGAGCTGTCTCTGGCAATTGCAGAGAGATGCAGCCAGAAATCTTACATAGGGGGAGAGATCATTTCCAAAAAAGAGATCAGATAATTCAGTTTGTGTTCAGTAGTTATCTTGATACAGAAGATGGCAGGGATTTCACCATCCTTTGGGAAACCTCTCCTCATCTTATCAACCTGAATTATTATGTCAATTAACCGCTGGGAATGGGAAAAGATTTCTAACTCATTTTCTAAGTCATAAACTTGTGAGGGAGAGGAGATGCTAATATTAATTTCTTCAGTACTTGATGTGACCCCTGTATTTCTGTGGTGTATTGGGTGTAAACTGAAGCACCACATACATAATTGGGAGGAGAGGACATTTGGGGGAAGTTTATTGGATTGTGTGGGAGTCCTGGCTGGTCTTTAACATTCCAGTCTTTTCCTTAAATTCTGCAGCAAACTGTCACCCAGGGTAAAATGTGTTATTTTGGAAATAGGTATGACATTTTTTGAAAATACATTCAAACATTTTCTGCATTTTGGGATACGCTGTTGACTGGGGAATAAGACAATCAGCATAGCCATGGGCACCACAGTATTTGTAGGTGTTGTCACCTTGAATGAACACTATCAGTTGAGTTGTGCAGACAGCGCCGAAATAGGAAGGTGATGGGGATTCACCCCAACATAAATTAAAGGATCCTTATAAAATGGCTTGTGGGTGACTCGGTCCTCTGGCTTCTTATATTTAATTTGCTAATTCTGGCTAAAATACGGACCGTCCAACTGGTTACTATTTTAAGGAGGCAGATTGTGGGTTTTGGGGGGGTTACAGGGTGTCTTCAGAGCTATGGGTTCACTGGTGAGTGTGGGCCAACATCCACCCAAAGCTGCTGATGGAAGAGGGTGTTCACAGGTTCTGTTTGCTTGATGTCAGATCATTTATGTGTCTCTGAGTCTTATAAAGAGTCTCATGAGGCAAAAATCTTTTTGCAAACTTTATTGTCTTCCTTATGACTAGATGTAAGCATGGAGTCATGTAGGTGGGCAGGGATGCCCTGGATGTGTCTCGCACAACCCCCTTGTTCCAAGCACTGCCAACTTCAGGCCCTTGTCCAGTTCTATTGTGAGTATTTCAGTGTAAATAATCCTGTTTCTTTTTCCTTTTCAGTCCACTGCTGAAGGGTTTAAGGAAGCTGTACGATACGTCCTCCCACGACTCATGCTCATCCCAGTCTATCATTGTTTGCACTACTTTGAGTTACTCCAGGTAAATGAAGCCACACTCTTCTTTCCTGCTAAAAACCTTTCTTAATGTGTAGAATCCGAGCTTTTCAATGGGCGATTCGATTTTACTTACTGCTTAAAAGTTATTAAAAGATAGAAAAACATTGATTTCACACCAGTTAGTAGTGTGTCTGAAAAGTAAAATCATGTAAAAAAAAAAAAGTCCTCAAAAGCCTTTGTTGCTCTGATATGAATGCTTGAAGTAACTATATTTTATTAAACAAACATTTATTGAACTTGAGTTCTAATGTGGTTAAAAATGTAATATGCAAATCTAATATCTTCTTTCCTTGAGTTCTGAATTTTTTGTCTGTTCAGAAAAATCTAGGAGTAATTTAAATCAGTGTTCTCAGTCCCAAGTCACACTCCAGTTGCAGCTCAGCGGGTCTTATTTTGGGGCTTGGGGAGGCACCTCCTTTTCAGCAGAGTCAGAATAATCCGTTCTTAATGTTCAACCGTTTGTCCCAAGTCCTAAATGGAAGAGATAGAGCAAAAAATACTGTTTTTCACAGTATGCTGCACTTTTCCATATTGAGGAGGAATGAAAACAAGCACTATTATTTTCTTATTTTCTCTCTCCTAAGAAATGACATTGATGAAATGTCAGGCTTTATGGAATTCTGATTCAGATGATAAAAAGTCATTACTGCAGGACGTATTTCAGGGGTCTTACCATACAAATTGTTTAGGTTGGCATCTAGTCCCTATTTCTGAGCAATTCTGCCTGTTTGAGGCATTACTTATTCCAGAACAGCCTCTATTGGTTTGACCACAGATCATTTACACATATTTTATTCTGACATGCACTAGCAAGGTGGTTCGCATCAGTCCCTATTTCCCTTGGGTCATAAAAGCCAAAAGCCAAAAAGTAACTAAGCCTGTATCTATTTGCTTACAAGCACATGCTTTTGCTGTGAGTTATGAGCAGAGAGGCCAGCAGACAGCAGAAATTGAACATCTGAGATGTATAATAATCATTCTTGAGCGAGAAAAAATAACGTTGCTGTAGAAAATGCAAAAGCTTGAAAAGTACTTAGAGCTTTTTTTAAGGAGCTGAGGATAACGTACCAAAAAAGTTTCTATTTACCCCACCGTGTTGGGAAAGCTTGCAATGCTTAGAAGAGTAAGTGAATTATTAACTAACTGGGATATATTTAAATTAAACAGGTGGAATATCCTATGGCTATAGCTGGCATTTTGAAATAGCAACAGAGATTACGTTTTTAAGTTCTCAATGTAAAAAGTGATACTAGTTCTGTTGTTCGGGTGTGTTATGGTCTTCCTTGGTATTTCAAAGGATTTGCTTGTATGAAGGATGAAAAGGAAACTTTGCAACACACAGATTATGTATAATACAATGTAAAATTTCTCTGAAGAATCTCAAGCCAAAAAATAGCAATTGTTTTAAGACCAAGTCTGTAGTTAATAGCTGGCATATATTCCTTTTTTCCCTGGTTTTCTTTCTTTTTTTTTTTTTTTGAAGTTGCTTTCATTATGTCTGCTGTGATTTTTTGCATATCCTCATTTAGATAATGAAAAATAAAGTTGATTCATTTTGACCCATGAACCACACATCTCCAGTGTATGGATTACCAATATTTTGTAGAAAGGTTTAAATCCAGGTGATTTCAATAAATTTTAAATCATTAAGCATTTCTGTTCATTGTCAGTTTAGAAAACAGTTAACAAAGCTTAAAAAAAAAAAAACCCAACCCTAACGGTCAGTGAACTTTTCTCTAGATCACTGCACTGTATTGAGAAGAGAAACTTTACATTGCTGTGGTTTTAATGTTTGCCTTCATAAAGCTTATGTTTCTATAAAGGCGTCTTCTAAAAGACAATAAAATGATGATGGCAGTAAAGGATGGCAGCAGAAGAGCACGGGGCGGTTCTGCCAGCCCAGCTGTGGTGTGAGCACTAATAGCTTTCTAAATACGTATTTCTGTCAAAATAGTGTGACTTCCCTTTTCCCTCAGGGTCAGTTGCGTACAATAATTCTTTGGAACTTTTTAAAATGTTCTTCTTTCACGTTTAAAAGACATAATTGGATTAGTGACCTGCATTCTGCTGAAGGGCAGGCTAATTAATGGCCCGTTGTGTCATAGAGCTGGGAAATGAGAGTGCATCGGTATGAAATTAAAGAATGAAATTAATGAAATCCTAGGCTGCAGCTTTGGGAGAATCTAAATATTTAACTGATTTTTACAAGCTGTGTAGAGTTGTCTGCTTTTTAGGGAAGAGTTAACGTTCACGCCTTATTGAGCTGAGTTTTGTGTGTTTTCGAAACTTCGGATGAAATATTTTGCATGCAAACAGGGTAGGTTTTTTCTTCAGTGACAGGAAAGGGCGGTTTCTATTTATGTTTTAACCCATGGCACAGAGAAGACAGTTGGGTTTTGATAAATCTGTCGTAAATCTGTAATGCTGCAAGAGCTTGCTGTCTCCTGGGGGCTCAGAGCCTGCCCCTAACTCCCACTGATGTTGATAGGATCAGGTTGTATGTGCACAGGCTTCAATTTCCTCGTATTTCTGAAAAATGAAGTCTGGCAAATGATTAAATTTGACCTTTATCCACAGTATACAAGATTTCTGAGTAGAATTAGAACTGGGCTGCAGAGGCTGACACTTGGCTGTCTTGAATCTTTCTAACCTTGTGAGCACCGAGCAGAAATCTTAAATACTGCTCTATAGTGAGTAACGGTAAAAAGAAGTCTTAAATACCACTCTGTAGTGAATAATGGTAAATGCAGAATCTTTTATTGTGATTACTTTAGTTGCAGGTTTAAAATTTGAATTTTATGTTGTAGTTTTGAAAACATCCTAAATTTATGGCAGTGATTTTTAAAAAACAGAGTGTTTTTAGGGATGGAGAAAGTATTTATTCAACAATATTAATATATTATAAACTGTTGGTACAGCTTCTCTGTTACCGTTGTATTTGTTTCTGGGAACCTTAGTTTAAAAAGACCTAGGAAAAATGGAAACAGAAAAGCAACATGATATTCATTATTTTCATGGTTTCAGTAGGGAGAGAAGCAAGAGGCACAAGGGCCGGATGGTGTTTGGAGACCCCAGTGCTGAATTTCTTTGGTTTGGCAGCTTTTCCTTGGGAAAATTTCCCTAGGAAATTGCCTTTGAACACCTTGAGTCAGAGGGAGGTCCTGGTGTCACTCTAATGTTGATTTCTTGCTCGAGGAGTGACAGAAAATGGACATGCCATAGGTTGAGATGGAATGAATGATGACAACAAAGGTTGAAGGAAGTAGTTCTGAAGAAATAAAGCTGTCTGGAATGAAAAAGTAGTGGTAGTGATCAAAAGTTGTTAGACCTTGCAAGCAGGCACCCTAAATATTCTGTGATTCTGTAAATATATTCTGATTGTGACATCTTTAATTGATTATCAGAGTATTTGGGTTTAAAAGACTACATTTGACATTTCCAAATGTGGACACCTTGATGCTGGCAGTGTAGAGGAGAACTCAATGTTTCATCAAGCTTTCCAGCTCCGGTGATGCTTTCAAACATGTGTCTGTTGATACCAGCATCCCAGGAAACATTCTTCATTGAACCAGTGCAAAGAACTCAAAGAACTCATCCAAATTCTGAGCTGGTTAGACAGAGTATTAAAATCTGGAAGGTGAGCAGAGATCTGCTCAAGTCCATGTTTGAGCCCAAGAAGACTTTCTTCTGCTGACTGTAGAGTGTATCCTTCCTTCTCATGGGACTTTCAGGCGGAAGATCATCCCTAATTCTTGCAGGTGACTCGCTGTGTTGTTATCCAGCAATCCAAAACATCTCAAATTCCACCTTTTGATCTTTTCCACTGTTATCTAATCATTGCCTGACAGAGAAATCCCAGTTAATATTCTACAGGATCACCACGATAGAATTTTTTGAAGTGAACAGTGTTCTCCATTACTCTTTTCCAATAGTTTTCTGCACAATAGATTGTATAGTTAATATTCTCAGTTTATAAACACTGGTATTTAAAATACATCTGGCATAAGCAGGACCTCCTTTTCTAAAAATGTATGTATTTTCTCTGTCCTGCTTTTTAATCAGAAAGAGGCTTATTAAGACCTGGCCTTTGGAAAAGCAGATGTTGGTCCAGTGATTACAGAAAATGAGATGTGCCTCAGATAATCTGCCTGATCTGCAGGGATCTGTTCACTAAGGTGTAGAAACGGAACAGTATACTTCCAAACATGGGGGTTTCTTTTATTTTTTAATACAGAAAAAAAGGCAAAACACGCCGTTTAATCTCTGTTAAGTGCCACAGAACAGCTCCCTTTGGAAAGGGGATGCAAGAAATTCTGCTCAGGACATAGAATCATAGATGAGAATCATGTGAAGAGAAAGAGTATTTTTATCAGACTCAATAGTTTTTCCCACCTTTAGCATTTTGCACTTGCCATCTTTTCACACCATTTTTATGTTCTTTGCATTTCTGTGGCTGATCGTAAGGAAAAGAAGGGTTTCCGCAGAGGTAGAGATTTTTCCCTTCCCTGTACTGTTCCTCAGCTCATAAACTTCCCGGCAATTTGTGGCCATGAAACTTTCATTTCTCTAATATGCAAGATGGAGGTTGTTTGGGCATGTGAAAAATAAAAAATTATAGTAATTTAAATTACAGAGAGTGGACCAATCTGGTCAAATCCTGTTCTCTCGATTACTTTTAGAGGAAGCTACATATCCTTGCTGAGGGAACGTAGTGGGGAAAGGAAAAGAAGGCTTCTGCCATGCTGAGTGATTGTAAGTAAGATTTCTCTTAAAGTACTTAGGTAAAGCAGAGTTTATCCAAAACTGCCTGGCATATTGGCTTGATTTTTGCCCAGCAATTTATTTACTTGAATTTTCATACAATCTTGAAGATGGAAGGGGTTGAAAAAAAAAATCTCGTACTTCTATCAGTAGTATTTTAGGAGTGATCACCTTAAAGACCCAAAAAGAGGAACTCTGTGAATAGGCTTTGCTCAGAGCACGTTGCTGCCAAGTGTAAGGACATGATATAAAACTCTGTTGAATTTCCTAATTCAAGAAGTTGCTGCCTAGTGGTATAGATGGGTCAAGTCTTTATAAGGAAATTTGCTGATTCTCACTGTCTTTACATTTTGTTATTAGTAGCAAATATTGAATTTCAGACTTTTTTTTTTTTTTTACTATGCTTGCACTGTGCAAAATTGACATTTCTTTTTGAAATGTATGAGTTTGCTGAAAATGGCTGGATTTAGGTAAGAAGCAAAGAGAGAATCTTGGTCGCTCTCTTTTAAATCTGCTCTGAAATGATGAGATTAATTGACTCATTGAAGGGATACTATACATAAAACAGCGTTTAATTCTCAGCTATTTCAAGCCTCTGAACTATTTAATAAAATCAGTTGTGAAACAGGACATCGTTCAAAAGATAACGGGGGAACCAGTATCTGACCATTAGCCTTGGCTCTCGGTGAAAGGGTAATGGGTTAGCTTTCTAAACGCCCTCCTGCTCTCTCCTGTTGAGTATCTACTGGCTTCTGAATATCCCACCAATGTTTTTAGTGAGTGGTTTTACACAGAGAGCAAGTTTTTGAGTGTGTTTCTAGTAATAACTCATGGACTTGAAAACACCGACTTCCCTGAGTCCTGTAGATAACGCAGCGTGAGAGTGTTTGTCGGTCTTCCTGCCCTTCTAGAAATTAGACAAACCTGAAAGAAAACTTGTTCCTTGTTTTATTTTGTCACAGCAATTGCAGGAATGCAGCGAGGATGAGGAAGATCGGGAGTGCTTAAAACAAGCCATCACTGCCCTTCTCAACCTGCAGTGCAGCATGGAGCGCATCTACAGCAAACACTCCCCGAGACGTCGGCCTGGGTAATGCTCTGCAGAGCTGTCCCACTTTCCCAGGGGGGCAGAGAGGGAAATAAATGATATGGAAGGAATTATTTTCTTTTTTTTCTTGTAAGATAATGTGTATACTTCCTTTTCAAGCCAGTTTTCATTGTAAATGGAGCAGCAGCCCAAAACCTTCACAGCCCATGTCTATGAATAACATCAATATGAATAACATCTATGAATAAGATCATCAGTACAGGTCGGGGCTGACCTGCTGGAGAGCAGTTCTGAGGAAAAAGACCTAAGAGTCCTGGTGGACAACAAGTTGCCCATGAGCCAGCAATGGGCCCTTGTGGCCAAGAAGGCCAATGGCATCCTGGGGGGCATCAGGAAGAGTGTGACCAGCAGGTGGAGGGAGGTCATCCTGCCCCTCTGCTCTGCCCTGGGGAGGCCCCATCTGGAGCACTGGGACCAGTTCTGGGCTCCCCAGTTCCAGAAGGACAGGGAACTGCTGGAGAAGGGACAGCAGAGGGCTACAGAGATCATGAGGGGCCTGGAGCATCTCACTTATGAGGAAAGGCTGAGGGACTTGGGTCTTTTTAGTCTGGAGAAGAGAAGGCTGAGGGGGGATCTGACCAAC